TGATAATCATTCATTGTGCGGGTGAGGTAATCACTAACCTTGTGAGTGGGGTAATCATTCACTGTGTGGGTGAGGTAATTACTCACCGTGTGGGTGAGGTAATCACTCACCATGTGAGGCAATCACTCACCTTATGGGTAAAGCAATCACTCACTTTGGGAGTGAAGAAATCTCTCACCTTAAGTGGCAATCGTTCACCGTGTGGGTGAGGGAATCACTCAATATTTGGGTGAGTCAGTCACTCACCTTACCACTCACCTCCCGATAAAAAAAAAGTGATAGAACCATTGAACCGTGAACCTGTTTGCCGGTTGTCTTAGTTCATCGGAGACCGGGACAGAGTTTTTTCTGCTTTAATCTTCACCTGATTTATACTCCGCAGAAAAGTTTGACAATAGAATAATAAATAATTAAACAAATTGGTTTTCTTTAGATTGTTTGGTTTTACTTTTATAAGTCAGTTTAAAAGCGATGATCCACTCGGTGTAAACTAAGGTTGCAATTTCTATCTCTGGTGGGTTTTGTTGTGAAATGTGCAACTCAATTTTAGACCCACTACAAATCTTTCTTTCTAGATTTCCACGAAACATGACAACGCATATGTAACTATATTTCAATGCTTATAAAATATAATTAATTATCTAAAATTAATTTTAGATCTATATATTAAACAACTAAAGGGGAGATCAATCAATTAAGTCGGTGTTCACTCAGAATGTTTACAAATCTATTAGTAGACGAAACTAGCTACTAAGGGGAGACAACTGAAGTGCTGGTGAGGAGTCGTTTAATTAAGCATATTAACCACCTTAAGTCTACAGGACATAAAGCAATTGTTTTAGCAATGAAGTACTTGGAAAGAATTTTTTTTTTACCATAACAGTTTTTAAAACTTAAATATCAACGTATATTAAATACAAAAAAATATTAAATATAACAAGCAAAAATATTATAATGGTAAGCATTTAAATGCACTAAAAGGTCATGGATTTTAAACCGAAAAGTCCTGAGTTCGAATCACCGGGCAGATGAGGCTCAATAAATGGGGAAAGCAACTTCTCTAGGGGAGAAAACTCCAAAATTAAACAATATTTATTTAAATATATAAATGCATTATATAAACGCATACGGACAGACACAATGACTTTCCTTAAGTATTAGCAAGTCGATTTCATCCCCCCCCCCCCCACCCCCTCCCCACCACTTTGAGTGTTTTACACCTCCTCTGCGCTCCTCTACAACCAGTTAAGCATATCGATTCCAGATCTAGACAAGCCCCCAGTCCGCAGCAGACGAGGATGATGGGTAAACCACAGAACCGCGCTGCAACCCAAAAATAAAACCGTCAGAGTGCCGGGTACCGCGGGATGTTTTCATCGCTCTTAACGAGCCCGGCATCACCTTTGATGTTACCGCCGACCTGCTGAACTCACACTCGCGCACAAGTTTTGGCCCTCCTTCCCTCGGTTTTAATTGCAAGGTGGCGCTGTGGATCTTGGTGCTAAGAATGTGTGAAGACATCAATTTTTTTATTTTTATTTTTTTTTATTTTTTTTTTTTTAAGTGTGACAAGGTGGGTAAGAAGCAGTAATAAAAAAATTCGTTAAAAACAAAAATTTAAAAATTTTTTTTTTTTAATTTTGTGGTTTGAGAAAGTTAAATGAGAAGAGAGTGTTGGTCTGATTAAGACGTGGAACATTTTTAACGAGGTTTTTTTTTTTTTCGTTTGTTTGAAAGTTGATTACCTACACACGAGAAGGTGGAATACCAGGGGAGAGAACTGGAGTTTAGTTTAGAAAACTTGCTCTTAAAACATCACGAGTTCTGTTTCCTGGTGGTAATGAGAGGCAGGTATTCGCGTACGGCTGGTTTTGAAAAGAATCTTCGAGAATATTTCAGCCATTATGTTCACGTGGTTCAGATGTTAACATTGTTAAGGATTTTTCCCCGGACTTTCCCCAAAGCGTTATTTGATAACGGTTATTGTTAAATTACAAAACTATCTTTTTTTTTAATAAAAAAAAAAAAAGACTTTTCTTAATACGCTTAAAATTTTGAAACATATACATTTATGGTTTATCTAGCCAAAAACTCAAGAACTGAAACTATGCTTAGTTCATTTATTTGTTTGTGCTTTAATTTTATTTAAACTTTTTAAGTAGTTCTCAGTAAGGTTCCCTTTCAAACCTGGCGGTCTATAGGGAAAGTGAAGTAGAGTTCACTTGTTTCTGTGACCTCGGCTTATGAAGAGATAGTGTGGTCAGCACTATGCCCAGCCGCCTTTGCTTTCCCTAACGTGAGCTAGGTACCCATCAGAGTTGGGTGGACTGAGTCTACTGACTTGAACCCGGATTCGAACTCGAGACTTACGGGTTAGCAGTCCAGCTCTCTACCGCTAGACCACCCCGGTAGTTCTCAGAAGGAGCGTGAATTGCTATATATAGAGATCGATAAAATTGGCTGCTAATATCTGACATCCAACGATAACCATGTCAGTATAGACGTCATGACAGCTATTTGAGCTAAGATGTCGACCAATGCTCAGCTGTGGGATTTGGTACATTGAACCCCGCGATCTAAGTTTTAAAATAGCATACACAACATGGATCCCCCCATTTTGCAATAAAAGTTTAAAAATAGCATAGGAAACATTAACCCCTGCATTCATAGTTAAGAAATAGCTTATGGAACATTGCCCCTCCCGACCACCCCCTTCAATCAAAGTTTTAAAATAGTATAGGGAACATGGACCCCCCCCCCCTGCTATACAACATAGCAATAAATGGCTTCTGCAAGTATTGTTCACTTAATTAAACAAAAATACCGTGCCTAAAATTAGAAAGACATGGTTATTTTTTGGTCACAGGCTCTTAAATAGAACCCATTGTTAACTTAAAATTACAATGATCAATATCTTCTTTAACTGAATGAAGCAAGTTTAGGATGAGCTTATTACTATAAGATACGAATCTTTAATGGAAAAAAAAAGGAAGTTAGAAAACCTTATCACGCACACGTAAACAAGTCACCCTGTAGTTTTTATCCAATCAAAAATGTTCCATTACCACATCTAGTATAGAACCAAAGCAGTCATTAGGAAAGTGACATTGCAAGCATTAAGAGCTACATGGGTTATTTTGGTGTGCCGACTCCCCTGGGGTTGGTCTATAGCATCCACGCGTTATGACTACCCTGCATGTCCATTTAAGGGCGGCTAAATAAATTCGTCATACAAACATGGATTTTTTTTTTCTTTCATGGTGATGTTGATGCGGCATGATTTTATACAACTGAGAAGTGCAGAAACTAAAGGCGGCTAAATTCGTCATAGAAACATGGTATCTATATATATAATTCTCTTCTTGGAGACGTTAGAAAACAAGCTGTAAGCGCGCTCCCTACCACCCCACCCCTACATGGTCTGGTGAGCTGTGGTTCACGCTAAATGTTTACATTCGTCGAGCCGGGTTTAGTGATGGCTATTAGGGGCAGATAATTTAGTTTGAAACGATTTTAAACTTATGGGAGGTAACTAAGAGGAGGCTGCTTTCACGGGGGGGGGGGGTGTAGGGTAGGGGTTGGGGGAAAAGAGGGTGGGGGTAGTATCGTCCTTAACGACCTACTGATAGTGTTTTAAGCAAATATTTTCAGTGGCAGCATTGGTACTGTCGAATTCACAAATTATGAATTACTGAAAAGTAGAAAATAAAACAACTAAATAGCGGGTCGGCTCGTTTTTTTGTATTACATGATGATGTTGATGCGGCATGATTTTTATACTACTGAGAAGTGTGCAAACTTAATGGCATCTGAATTCATCATACAAACATGGAATTTTTTTTTATTTCATGATGATGTTGATGCGGCATAATTTTATACATCGGAAAAGTGCACGATCGTACGCTAGCGTGTCTGTTTGGCTGTGGTGTCTTGGGTGTGCTAGGGGTAGTGGGTGCACTAGAACGTTTGTTTACAAGCTACGTAGAAGACAAGGATCTATAAACACACTACTTTATTAGACCACATTGCCGCACATTTGCCACTAGACTCAACATTACGTTTTTGAAAGACTTTCTAAAAACGTTGGCTTGAAAAACTTTTTAATTTATTACAAAATATTTAAACATGCACACACGCAAGATGTATGTACAAAAATATTGACACACACATACGTGTAAACAAGTACTCAAACATGCACATACTGATAAAGATTTCAGGTGTGTGTATATATGCATATATATATATATATATATATATATATATATATATATATATATATATATATATATATATATACTCATATATTCAAAGTGTACACTCAATACACTAGAGTTAATAATTTTAACCATATTGCCCTATCAAAATGAATTACATATCGCTAGATTCAGTCTACCTAGAAAAATTAAAAATGTGAATAAAGCAAACATTCAAAACACGGCATATTTTTTGTAAATTTTGACATTTTGTTAAATAAAACTATTACAACTAATCCCGATACAATTACAATAACAATTATCAGACCCAGAGAAATTAAAACAAAGGTTTCATTCGTGTCCTAAACCTTGAATAGCATTTGATCTATTATTTAATAGATAGGCCTACTTTAAACAAATTAAAAAATGTAACACTATCGAACTTTGGAAACAAAATGAAACAAAGACAACTTCATAATAAGAGCTATTATTAAATAACTGGATTGTTTTGGGTAATGTTGACCACAATAACAGAAATAGATTTTGTTTCAGGTAATTTGTGCACAATAATATAGATCGATTGTTTCATATCATTTGAGTAGTATAAAACATGTCGATTCTTTCAGATCATTTGACCACTATAAATATATCGACTGTACCAGATCATTTGACCAATATAAGCATATCGATTGTACCAGATAATTTGACCACTATAAACATATCGATTGTTCCAGGTCATTTGACCACTGTAAAACATATCGATTGTACCAGATCATTTGACCACTAAAAACATATCGATTGTTCCAGGTCATTTGGCGTCGGGCCTCCGATCCGAACCCCATCACCATCGGTGCCATAACGTACATCTCTGACGACCGGTTCCGTGTGGTCAACCAGCTCCACTCGCTGGAATGGAACCTGCACATCCGGGACGTCAAGCCAGAGGACAGCGGGGTCTACGAGTGCCAGGTGTCGGCAGTCAAGCGGAACATTCGCCAGAATGTTATGCTCATGGTGGAAGGTAGGTGGATGAGTCTTGTGGTGGAGGGTGGGTAGACATGTCTTGTTGTGGAATGGGGGAGGGTAGGTCGACATGTCTTGTGGTGGAATGGGGGAGGGTAGGTCGACATGCCTTGTGGTGGAATAGGGGAGGGTAGGTCGACATGTCTTGTGGTGGAATGGGGGAGGGTAGGTCGACATGTCTTGTGGTGGAATAGGGGAGGGTAGGTCGACATGTCTTGTGGTGGAACGGAGGAGGGTAGGTCGACATGCCTTGCCTTGCGGGGGAGGATAGATCGGCATGTCTTGTGGTGGAATAGGGGAGGGTAGGTCGACATGTCTTGTGGTGGAACGGAGGAGGGTAGGTCGACATGCCTTGCCTTGCGGGGGAGGATAGGTCGGCATGTCTTGTGGTGGAATGGTGGAGGGTAGGTCGACATGCCTTGTGGTGGAGGGTAGCTCGACATGTCTTGTGGTGGAATGGGGGGGGGGTGTTCATGGGGAGTTTGTAACGAAAATATGAAGAAAGTATATCAAGATGTTTTGCTTTGAAATGATGTTTTAGTAACGATAATCTCGATAATGTACGAACGAATTACTTATGTTACCTCCCTTCCCTCCCATCTAACTTGAATATGTTGTTATATGTCATCATGGAAAATATTTCCTTCGGATGTTGGGGTTTGGGTGGTAGAGCGCTTGATTGCTAGCCTGAAGGTTTCGAGTTAGGATCTTGGATCGGACTCGAGACTACGGGATCTCGATTAGTCATCCCAGCTCTCATGGGTACCTGACTCACGTGGGGGTGGTGAAGGGGGGGGAGTGAAGGTCAATTGGCATAGTGCTGACCGCACAATACATTCATATATCGAAGTCGAAAAACATTAGAAGGTATATGAACCCTTTAGAAGGTATGCGAACCCCTTTTTAGAAGGTATGTGAACCCTTTTTAGAAGATATGTGAACCCTTTTAGAAGGTATGTAAACCCCTTTAGAAGGTATGTGAACCGCTTTAGAAGGTGTGTGAACCGCTTTAGAAGGTATTTCAACCCCTCAGCATAGTAAAATTCAAAACAATAGTGACTAAGTTTGAGCATTCTAGTTTAGAACCCTAGCTTGGCCTAGCCGTCTGTAGTTTATCGGTCGTGGCTACAAAGCGCTGTAACGTGGGCGGAATTTTATACTGTCACGTGGTAGGATATTTTATCCTCCACGGTGACTGCGCATGACACGCCGAGATAAGATAATCAGCCCATCCGGACATGCGCGCCCCCTGTCGTCTTTTACTTTTATAACCCAGTCTAGTGTTCCGTCTACGCAATATGTAAGACTGTAAGACCCCTGTAAGACGAAGGGTGTGAGGGGGGGGGGGAAGTTAAGAAGGGGGTTCTAGACACTGAAGAAGATGATTTATCCTTACGTCAAAGCTGGTTATAGAAGACGATAATAAAGTGAGACATAGGCGTGAATGCAAGCTGATTGATTGTGTATTCCTGATGATGACAAGCGTAGCCAGTCGACTTGGTTCTTTAATAACGACACAATCGAATTCTTTGCTTAAACATAAATCAAGCCTCTATCCCCTGATGAAATTATTTACGCGATTTATTTTTTTTTCCTTCGCGAATAACTATGTAATAAAGCGCGGATGAACACAAGGTAGTTAGGCTCTGGATGAGGATTTTTTTTTCTTCTACCATGGCGTAGTAACCTTTCACCTGTTATTAACGGTGGAAAAAAAAAGTCCTTGATTATAGACACCTGTGGCGAATATGTCAGCAAGGTTGGGTTAAAAGCTTGAGATGTATCTTAAAAACTACGTATAGGATCAACTAAACGGAATAAAATAAAATAAAAATATCCTTTATCAAAGTCTAATTTGGTTGATTTCAATAAGTTGCTTCATTTATTACATATTTAACCTATGAGGTTTATTTTATTAAATATGTCAGCTGTTAGCTTATAAAAATAAACCTGAGCATTTTTGTTGTTTTTATAAAAATAAGTTTTGATCCACATTACATTAGTTTAATCATACTAGTTGCTTCTTTTAAAGATTCTTTGATTAAAGAAAAATTATTTAAAGTTATCTGCTCTTTAATTTATAACTGTCGATTGCATCTCCTTGGATAACATTTACTGTGTTATATTTATTTGTTTTCTATGTAAAACCATTCCAGTAATAATGTTACCTACTTAAGGGATTAGCCTTAGGTAAATGTCCGAATAGCACCCTTAGAGAAATGTCCGAATAATAACCTTAGATACCAGAGATTCTTCCAGGTATCTCTACCGCTGCCCCGAACGAGATGGAATTTCTATTAAAAGATATACTTTTACCAGTGCCCCCCCCCCCCGGAAAAAATGTAGACCGCCCCCCCCCTCCGAAAATATCATGTGCCCCCCCCCATCCCCACGGAGAGAGAAGTCTGTTAGATATATGTCCGAAAAATAAACTTAGATTAATGTCCGAATAATAACCTTAGATAAATGTCCGAAGATTAACCTTAGAAAATTGTCCAGATGTTAGCATTTACTATGTCCGGCTTTACGCCTTATATAAATATCATAACTATACCCTTGTCAAAATGTCCAAGTCAAAAACTTTTTTGCAATCGTGTTTTCAACATACACACTTGACTTCTACAGCCTTTATCTATATATCTATTGCCAGATCAGGTACCTACGTCTGTTTATCTATATATCTTTTTCATGATCAACTACCTTCACATGTTTATCTATATATCTATTATCTCATCAGATACCTATGTCTGTTTATCTGTATATCAATCACCTGTATATCAATCACCTATATATCTATTCCCTGATCACATAACTGCATCAGTTTATATATGTATATATATATATATATATATATATATATATATATATATATATATATATATTACCTGATCCGTTGCCTACACTCTGTAAACTAGTGTAAACAAAACCACTGTGTTTTACATCTGAATGTAAATTTTAGTTCCTCATCCAGCGGTGTTATTTTTTTCTTCTCATTGTTCATTTCAGCATCACAACGGACAGGTAGCTATGGGCTGTTGTGTTTCATTGCTTGCATTGGCACTCTATGTGTAACAATGATATGACATAGCTAGAAGTAGCTAGAGTAACACAGTAGTTAACTGTACAGTCAGTCTGTGCTGCAATAACACACAAATTTTATGTTGGGGCTGATTTGTATGTGTGCATACCATAACATAAACGTTTCTTATGTATGTGCGCATATTATATTAGCTATAATAACCTATACGAATTGATAATGTATGTGCATATATGTTCTTTCAGCTATAATGCAATATTTAAGTTGCCTGTGTATGTGCACATACCATATATGCTACGATAACACTGATAAGTGACATTGTATGTGCGCATACAATATGAGCTACAATACAATATATAAGAAAAGTATGTGGACATATCATTTGAACTACAACATGTTCACTTACGTATGAGACAAGCGTAGTTTAGTATAAAGATTATCTTTATATGTGCATATTTTTAACTAAGTTGGAGAAACGCGAAGAATTTAATAAGTATATAAATACAAAATTTAATTAAAGCAATAATTAAACAAAAGATATAATTAAAAATTATAATTTAAAAACTCAACGTACAAACGTACAAGTAATCAAACAGCAAAAAGATTTTTTTTTAATATGTGATAGTTAATTTTTACATGAGTTATGAAGAGAAGAAACGTAATTGAAATTCGATTTTTGAAACGTAGTTTAATTTTTAAACACGCACACACACACAAACAAACACACACATATATATATATATATATATATATATATATATATATATATATATATATATATATATATATATATATATATATATATATATATATATATATATATATGTGTGTGTGTGTGTGTGTGTCTGTACTTGTAACAAGTGGGTGTATACGTACGTGTATCGGAATTGAAAGTTTGCCACGATCTGTACACAATCAATAATCGATCATGCATGAAACTACAAGGCTGACCACGAAGAGCCTTTACTACAAGTCTGAAGGACACAATGCATGTTTGGTTATTGTGACTCAGCCCTAGTGAGTACTGCTCTCAATCCTGGGCTTGTGTTCAAGTTTTCGATTCCCGCTAGAAAATAAAAATTTGTTCTTTCTTTATTTTTTATTAATTTATTTATACGCGAATTAATTATAATTAAACATACGATATCGTGGTAATTAAGTAAAACCAGTTACAGATTAATAAACGAAAATTTAAAACATTCATCTCACATACAAAGTACAATATTTGTTGAAAATAATACGTTTATTCTTTCAAAATTAGATCGGTTTTAAAAAAAATGTTTTAAAGTTTGAAACGTTAACCCATGTTTGATTTTGTCTTTCAGATAAGACTGACTTAAAGTCTGTTAAGCCAGGTATGCTACGTAGTTGAAATCATAAAAAGTTAATTTTGTTAAAAATGTTGTGGTGGAGATATTATTTGTATTTAGCGTCAATTTATTTTACTAAACTAATTAATTTAGTGCTAAAATTTTACTCTGAAATAGTTTAAAAGCAATCTCCTTAAAAATAACATAGAACGAATAAAACTCACTTTTTTATAATTTTTTATTGTTTACATTTTATAATCAGTTCACATGTATTTTTTTTTTAAATTATTTAAATGTTTTCTTTATGTTTGAATAAAAATCAAATATTTTGCATATATAATACTTTTTTTATGTCAATGAAGGTAATTATTGTTAGATAAAAATAATTTTGTTTAACTAAAGGAAATAAAACAATTTTTTTTCCCTCTTTCTGTTAAAATAATTAATTTTTTGTCTATGTCAATATATATTTTTTATAATTAAAAAAACAGAATTTTTTTAATTGTCAAAAGAATTGTGTCCCATTTGTTTCACTAAAATTGTGTCCCCTTTTTGTGAACAGAAATCACCATTCACGGAACGTTGTTCGTTGAACGCGGGGACACGCTGAAGCTGGTCTGTAACGCCACTGGTAGTGAGTACCCCCCAGACGCCATCGACTGGTTCAAAGATGGGGACAAGATCAAAATCGAGTGAGTACATAGCACAGGTGTCTTGTCTGTATACATGCTTATAATTCATGTTCACACTGACTATATGACTGTAGTTTGTTAAGTACGTGTTCAAACTACACTGATTATTGGATGTTTGTTAAGTACGCGTTCAAACTACACTGATTATAGGAATGTAGTTTGTTAAATATGTGTTCAAACTACACTGATTATAGGAATGTAGTTTGTTAAGTGCGTGTTCAAACTACTCTGATTATAGGAATGTAGTTTGTTAAGTACGTGTTCAAACTACACTAATTATAGGAATGTAGTTTGTTAAGTACGTGTTCAAATTACACTAATTATAGAAATGTAGTTTGTTAAGTGCGTGTTCAAACTACACTGATTATAGGAATGTAGTTTGTTAAGTGCGTGTTGAAACTACACTGATTATAGGAATGTAGTTTGTTAATTACCACCTAGGTAATAAACCACCCAGGTAATTAACCAAGATAATAAACCACCCAGATAATAAGCTGTCCATATAGTAAACCACCAAGAAGATAATCTACTAAGATAATAAACAACCAAGAAAATAATCTACCAAGACAATTAACCACCAAGATAAGAAACCACCCAGATAATAAACCACCAAGAAAATAAACCACCCATGTAATAAACCACCAAGATAATAAATCCCCAACAAGATATACCACCCAGGTAATAAACCACCAAGATGTCAAGCCACCCATTTTCATATTTGTCCCCAGAGCGGAAGCGCTAAAATGTGCACCCCACAACACCACTTTTTTAAAAAAAATGGAATATCTAACAAAAATCGTTTTGTTTACTCTTGATTTTAAATCAAGCTTTTAATAATTTAGAACGTTATATTATTTCTACAAATGTAAAAAAAAAAAAAAACTAGAAATATTATTATTTTAAATTCCTTTAAGTTTTATTTAAAATAACTATATTTTTTTTTTATATTTTCAAATATACTTTTATTGTAAGCTGTTTTTTTTAATGCTTTCATATTTTGAGCAGTCTACGCTGTCTACTAACACTACTTTTTTTTGTTGATTCCGTTTTGTGAAGTCAGACGGTGCGTATTTTCACAAAAATAGCCTTTGAACAGTAGTTAAATTATTCAATAAGAGGCTTTTCGGTACTAAATAATCGATGAAAACTCAAATGTTATCCTTGAATAATCTCTATTAACTGCAATGTAAAAACTTGCATGCGGAAGTAGCGATTTGACCTCAGAGTATGCCCGCTGGGAAAGTTCTATCTATAAGGGTCATGGCAAGTTGACACAAAATTGGAGGAAAACTTTATTTTTAAGTAAAACGTTTTGCCCTTAACGGAATGGCAAATGTATAAATTCGCTTTTGCAGCCCTCGTAGATGGTTAATTAAATTAAATCCTGCCACATGTGTAGAAAATAATGTGTAAATTAAAACGTTGATTTAACTACTTATATAGACTGTCTTAGAAATAACATCCGGCTTCTTTATAAGCTATTAGTTGACTCATTGTATGAACATTCGAACGTACGTTCATGATCTTTTATGGTTTAACGAATTATCAACAAGAGATCGTACTTAATTCATGTTTTACTGTGTCATATCATATAAACAATTGTTATAAAGTTCTACATGATCTAATGCATTATTGTTACAAACCATAGACGTAGGATTTACAAGTATCCATAAACTATGTTTTAAAATTATCCATCGTACATACTTTCAATTTCTACGTTCCATAAACCATATTTCCATCCCACAACCCTACATCCATCCTATAATCCAGCGTAAAATCTCATAAACCACATTAAATTAAAAAGTAAAATTCCAAACCTGATGGTCTATGTATAATTGAAGTAGAGTTCACCTGTTTCTGTAGCTTCGGCATATGAAGGGATCGTGTGGTGTGTACTATGACAACCGCCTTTATTTTCCATAACGTGAGTTAGGTACCAATCAGAGCTGGATGGACATATGAAGGGTCTACTGACTTGAACCCGGATTCGAACTCGTAACTTACGGGTCAGCAGTCTAGCTCATAAACCACATTGCTTTAGCTTAAAAAAGCTTTTATCTAACCCATAAATCATATTTATCCAATAACCTATATATCCATACCATAGTTCATATTTCCACCATAAAACCCGTCAGTCCATCACATAAGCCATAGATTCATCTCAAAGCTCTTTTGTCCACCCCATAATCCATCCCTGCCTTTTGTCCACCCCATAATCCATCACTGACTTTTGTCCACCCACCAGTGAACGAGTCACGCTGACCAATGACGTGTCGTACACTGACCGCACCATCAGCAGTCTGCTACTGATCAAACGGTGCCACATGGGGGACGCTGGCACTTACGTCTGTCGGACGTCTGATAACCTGGTCACCAGCGCCAAAGTCAACATTTTAAACAGTGAGTACTCAACATCATACCTTATTGGGGCATATTCATCATCATACCTTATATGGGCATACTCATCATCATACCTTATATGGTCATATTCAACATCATACCTCATATGGGCATACTTAGAGTCAGACCTTATATGGTTGAACTCATCATCATACCTTATATGGTAATATTTAACATCAGACCTTGTATGGTCATATTCAACATCAGACCCTATATTGTTATAATCAACATCATATCATATATGGTAATATTGAACAACAGACCTGATATGGTTATATTCAACATCAGACGTTATATGCTAATGTTTAACATCAGATCTTATATTGTCATGCCAAAAATAATAAATACATGATCTGTAAATATTTTTTTTTATTTAATTTACTCATTTATGAATGATGGATATTGACTAAAATAATTTACAGTATGATTTTAATTTTGTTTAATAATTTTTTAAAAACGCATTTTATTGAATTTATATAAAATATTTAAAATAGATATGTAAATAATTAAACGTATTTAAAACGCAAAAAAAAATAATTAGATTAAGTGAAAACATAAAGTAGTGGTAATGGGATTGATTTTTAAGTGTTATTCATGTGATATATAAAATGCTGTGGGCTTTTCTCTGTATAAAACAAGACCGAAAAAGATTTTATTAATTTGATGCACGCAAGAGACATCGCAGATCATCATGATTCCATAAGCTTAATCATAATCCTACCCTAATTTTTAATGTACAGACTTAATCTGTTTTCGTCTTGTGTGAAAAGAAAATACCAAAACAAGAAAATGTATGTGTTGTTGTTACTAAACCATATGTTTTATGTCTATTTTAGCTGGCACTAACAACGAAAAGAGAGGTAAGTGTATACTTAAACTAAAAATGTACAGCCTTTATATATATATATATATATATATATATATATATATATATATATATATATATATATATATATATATATATATATATATATATATATATATACTTATTAGTTTATGTAAGATATATATTTGTATCTAATTTTTTTATAAATAAATAAATATTTATATAAATAAAAATGTGTATATATATATATATATATATATATATATATATATATATATATATATATATATATATATATATATACGTGTATATATATATATATATATATATATATATATATATATATATATATATATATATATATATATATATATATATATATATATTCCGATGTTCTATTTGATGTGTAGTTTTAGTGTGTACGACCGCAAGTGATTCCATATTACTTCTGAATATTAGTTCCATTTATTCCAGAGTCGGACGATGTGACTGGCAGCTCCCACTACCGGAGCGGAAACAACGCCTCCCCGCGGATACGTCCAGTGGTTCTCACCACGTTACTATTGACGCTTTTCTCTTTGAGTCGCGGCTGTCTTTTCACGACGTGATTGTTGCTGTTTGGATAGGTCATGTGATGTGAGTGGTTCAAAGGACAAAGGTCACCGAGAGCGACAGCTACGATATGATACGGATTATAATTTCTAGACTGCTAGAAAAACCAGTGGAGAAAAATATATGCTGTTTCGCTTAACGTCGTTGGTGACGGAACTTTGTCGTTGTGTGGAACCTGGATGAAATTTGTTGTTTTTTGTTTTTTTTTTCGAAAAAAGAAAAACTTTTTTTTATCATTTTGTGAAACTGTGATTTACAATGTATGAAAGTTTTTATTTTTCTTATTTTACATGTCCACGATTTGGTGATAGGCAGGGAAAGATTTTGTTATTCAATAATAATTGGATTAAATATCACGATGACACAGAGGAGTCAAAGTCATGAGGCTTGTGGAATTGGACGCCACCCCGACGCTTTTGAACATATAAATCATGAACTTGAAGACAATGACAAAAATGTTTAGCTTTACATTTATTTTGTTCAACTTGAGAATGTTTGTAAATGATCTTGTCATCAACATCACTCGATGTTGTACCTACACTTACATCATGCTAAACATCATCTGTACATCATATGTACATGGTATACAACATCAGAACATCATTCAAATACGTTTCTCGACATCGTTGAACTTCAAGTGAGTATCTTTATGAAATCTTTCTGAATATTTTCTGAAAAAGAATCTTTCTTAAGATATCTTACGGCTAGTCACATGATTAAATGATGTCAAACATCTTCTTAACATTGTCTTAACATCATCTAGCATTTGATGAGACCACTTTTACTCACGTGTGTTTAAATAATTCCATCTTTGTTGCCATCGTCTAGTCAACATCAGCGGGAGAGTTTGGGTGTCCGATTGATTACATCAGATGTGTCCGATTGGTTACATCGGATGTGTCCGATTGGTTACATCAGATGTGTCCGATTGGTTACATCGGATGTGTCCGATTGGTTACATCAGATGTGTCCGATTGATTACATCAGATGTGTCCGACTGATTACATCGGATGTGTCCGATTGGTTACATCAGATGTGTCCGATTGATTACATCAGATGTGTCCGACTGATTACATCGGATGTGTCCGATTGATTACATCAGATGTGTCCGATTGGTTACATCAGATGTGTCCGATTGATTACATCAGATGTGTCCGACTGATTACATCGGATGTGTCCGATTGATTACATCAGATGTGTCCGACTGATTACATCGGATGTGTCCGATTGATTACATCAGATGTATCCGACTGATTACATCGGATGTGTCCGATTGATTACATCAGATGTGTCCGATTGATTACATCTGTTGTGTCCGAGTGATTACATCAGATGTGTCCGATTGATTACATCAGATGTGTCCGACTGATTACATCGGATGTGTCCGATTGATTACATCGGGTGTGTCCGATTGATTACATCGGGTGTGTCCAATTGATTACATCGCCGTTAGCGCACGTGCCTTGCATCAAGCGCGACGTCATCAGAGTGTGAACATCCACTCACACACACATCAGGGTATCATCATCTTCTCCCCCGCACATTTGTGTGGCATCCTACCCATCCACACACTTTCGTCATCACGGCTATCATCATCATCCCTCATATCATGGGTATCATCACCTGCTTACACACAAGTTGATATTATCTGCCCACACAGAAGATATCACATCACCTGCCCACACATAAGTTGATATCACCTTCCCACACATAAGTTGATACTATCTGTCCATACAGAAGATATCACCTACCCACACATAAGCTGATATTTGCCCACATACAAGATATCACCTACCCACATACAAGATAACACCTACCCACATACAAGATATCACCTACCCACACATAAGATATCACCTACCCACTCACAGGATAATATCCCATCCATGATGACTCACCGCATAATTTTGTTTAAAACTGTAGTCACTGAACCACGACCACGACCGTAAGATACCTCAGGCACCCCCTCCCCCTTTTTTTATTTGTCGTCACCCGACAAACGAATAGACTACCTCACCCTTTTCACCAACATCACCTCGACAGTCCCTACAACATCATCAAAACTCTGTTCACAATAGGGCTGGTAAGTAGGTCACCACCGGCTCAATAAAACCTGCATGAGCCATAGAACTGGTTGGTGACCTACTTACCAGCCCTATTACCCAATTACAAAAAAATAGGCAGTGACCATTACTCCCCCTCCTCGTAGATTTTGTTACTATGATTGTATACTTGCATGTCTTAGATATTGATACTAGTCATACAATTCTCAGTGTTCTTCAAACAACAGCAGGAGTTTTCTACACACCAAAAATCCTGCACTAGCTTTGTGTGGTTTTTATAATTAAATGCTCATCCGATTTTTAAAAAAAAAAACGATTTCTACTAGAAATGATAACAAATACAGACGAAAAAAAAAAGTATTGAATTAGTTTTAATTAATCATTAATTGTTATATATTTGGTATAATACTTGTGTTGTTATTTTATTGTTTTGAATATGTGTGTTGATAAGGTTTTTAAATGAGTGTGTACAAGACTAAGAGTTTGTGTGTAAGACGGTATGGCTGAAGGTGTACGTGTGTACAACATGATGTATTGGTCGATTGATGTACATATTGATACCATCTATTTAATATCATCCCATCCTGTTCACCGCGGTACACATCAGCATCATCATCAAAAACATCATCATCAACATCATATGTGTGTATTCAATTTTGTGTTCTAAAAGGCAAGGTAATTAAACGATTCTGATTCTTACAATCCATCCATCTTCTTTTGTTGTTTTATATTGTTTTTTTTTCAAGTGTACTATTATGTTCCATTAAGATTTGCTTTAAAAATATTTAATCTTTATTATAAATATTTAATCTTTATTATAAATATTTAATATTTATTACAAATAAAACAATATTTATTATAAATATAAAAAATATTTAATAACTATTTAAAATATACTGTTAAAATCGATTATAATTTAATGCGTAGGTTATGTTCATGTCATCAGAACTCAACGTCTTCCAAACAGCACAATCCTACTTATTCCAGCAATCACATTCCTACTTGTCCAAACATCACATTCCTATCCTATATCTGCTTGTTTGACTTCTAACTACATGTAATGTATCTGGCAACCCCAATAAAATACGCCACTATGAGGTATACATGAAAATAATTGTTTATGGTTGGTTATTTAATTTTAATTAAATTTTAACCACGAAATATTTTCAATAATAATTTCAATTAAAGAAAACAAAACGAGTCTGGAAAAGATGACATTTAGCAAAAGTATTGTATACACTAGCCGTACCGGCAAGGCCCTGCACTAGCATTTGGGGCAAAAGTTATTTTTAAACGGCCATGACTTACATGCTCAGTTAAGCATCATATAGGCCTACCCTGCGCTGTCTAGTGTTTGGGAATGTATACATTTTTTCAATTAAAGGCATTCTTAATGTGCAGAAAGATGTTAGTTTGATCATTGTTGTGGGAATACAATTTTACCTGAAGCCGGAACATGTACCTTCGTGATAAAAATGGTAACTGATTTAATGTATACCTTTTTGAACAAAAATTAGTATACTGCTTAATTAAAGTTGACGGAATTCTGCTGTATTAAAAAACAAAACAAAAAACACATTGAATGTATTACATCATATGTGGTGTTGTTTTTATTTTATTTTACATTGAATTGCTCTATATGTTTCATTATCCCTCCAAAATTTGTGTATAAAAAGAAAACCTCGCATTGTATTTTTTTAAATAAAATTCATAAAATAAAAAAGGTAATTTTATTACACATAAGCCAACAGTGATATTTAGAATGCAGTCAGCCACTTTAAAATGTTATTATTCAGCTTTACAGTGTTGTAACTCGTTTGAAGCAAAGTTTAAATTGAAACCCATCACACAAGCTCATGAAGGTGCAAGTCAAGATTCTTCATAAAAATATTAAAATCAGCAGCTTTGGTGTAGTTTTTTTTTTTTTTTTTTTTTTTTTTTTTTTTTTTTTTTTTTTTTTTTTTTTTTTTGTAGATATATATTCCAAAGTCTATGCTACTTTTATGAAAATAATGCTGGTGAGCGAAAATATTTTAAGAAATCAGTTCGGTAGAAGTGGTATTTTGGATAAATCGGAAATAGCGTAAAGTAGTTTTTCCGTTCACCGGAAATCACTAAATATTTGACAGAATCAAGAAAGAAAAGATCGTATATCGGTGTATAATATTCCGTCCACCTAACTGAAACAGTACTCATATTTTTTTGGTATTTTAGAAAACAGAAATCTAGTTGTGTACCACTTCTCGTTTTTTGACGGTCACAGAATAAATTGAAAATAATCCAAGTGTAAGATTTAATACTACTAGATCTATATGCAATTACGTTAACCTAACTAAAACAGTACTCAAGTTATGGTGCTCACGCGGAAAAAGAGGAAAGTACCACTTCCGGTAATCGGAAAGTGATCAAATGTTGACAGATACACACGCACACAGTGTTTTACATTCATCTATTTTGGACTGTACTCAAGTTATTAGCTTTTAAGAAACCGGAAGTATAGTGCGTACCACTTCCGGTTATTGGAAATTGCTCAAAAGCTTATAGAAAAGAACAAATTTAATATAATACTTTTATATGAAATGTCTTCAACTTAACTGGAAGGTACTCAAGTTATCGTGTTCACGTACACACACACACACACACACACACACACACACACACAAACACACACACACACAAACACACACACCGAAAAATTGCAAAACCAAGTTTGTCCGTTCCGGAAGGATTTAAAACGTCAAACTTTGAATCTCGATTGCTTTTTTTTGCTCTATCGTAAATGCTTTCGCTTCACAAAGCTCAAAGACAAGGACAGATTTTAAAAAAATTAACACGTCACAATTGCCCCATCACCCCAATTACAAATCCATTATCCAAATTAACGCTTACGCCGTCGCGATCATTAAAATCTACCACGCATGTAAAGACGCAGTGCTGACTCTCCACGCGTCACCAGCTAAAGATACCTGGCACATGTACACCTACCTACACAATCCACACTTAGCTGACGAGAGTAACAAAGCTATTCATAGAACCTCGATACGTTTTTACCGGTTAACATCGTCAAATTTAACCGAAGAATGTTTGATTTTTTTTCGACACTTTTGTTTT